TTTTCTGCAATATTTCTGACATGATCTGTTTACTGGTTCTGGAGCTAGGTCAGCTCGCATTCTGTCTCATTCATAAACATTATGATGAACGTGGTGTCCTTGTGATAGCAGGGTTTGGTTCTAGACCCATTCACGTCGGCGTCAAGAGTCCTATTCTTTAATCTTAAAAAATCCCGAATTTTAATGGCCGTCATCAGATGTATGTTATCTCTACGTCGATTGTTTTTGTCCGGAAAAAGAATCGTATGGAGCACCTTCTTAAAAGTGCGCACACTGGTCATGACACTGTGCTAGCAAACAGTAATACATACTTTCGTAACCTCCAAGTTGTAACGAGCTAAAGGGACTCAGACAAAAGAGTCAGAGGCGTCAATAAACAAAGTACACATCAACAGAGAGACGAGGATCTAGATTAAGAGGGAAATATCGTGAAAAGACTGACCTAAAAAGTAAATGTGGTAAAAGTAGATAAGAGTGTAATTAACACCATCAGTCTAAAATTAAATTTTAAAAGGTGTGGAAAGAACGCACTCTAGTGCCGGCGGAGCAGCCAAACTACGAAAATTATTTATTATCAGAACCTTGGGAAGTTATCAACTAAAGTGCTATAACGTCTTCTTTTAAATGTCTCGCACCTTCCGCGGAAAAGTCGAATTAGGCACTTTGTTCCATCATTAATCACCTAGTGAGAGTAGAAGTTGGCCTGTGCTCCAAGTTCGGCTTATCTTGTCCCCAATTTAGTAAATTGTTGTTTTATTTATCTCTTATAAATGTACTATCATGATAAGTAAACATAGTTTTTCGAGTGAATTTTAGAGCGAATATGCAAACACTGCAGCGTCCAGCTTGTGCTTATAAGATTGGCAGTCTGATATGAAAAACGGCTAACGAACCGCGAATGAGACTTCTTCCTTTTTTTGAAAGGGGCAAAATGAATGTAATTTGACTAATTTTTGGAAAAAAAGACTGCTGCTCATGGGAAGGTAAATGTTTGGATGGGACAGGACCGTTCCACAGGTGAGAGTACATAAGGGTTCAAGGATCTCCTCGTCATGGATGAGGCTGCTCACTGAAAATGCGATCATAATCTTTTTGAGATGACAGCAGAAATAACCGTCAAGGTGGCAAGACAGGAGGAACCCAACGCGATTGGTCACAATTCCCCTGGGATCCAGTCTAGTAGGGGACATAAAAGACTGCCAGTATCTTCAAAACACGTGAAGATGCGATCATGATAATTCTTTGCTGACCGACCAAAATACTAGCAGACGACGACGACACAGGAATCCGCCGTGGTCGCCAGCAAATCGCTAGGGGTCAAAAGGAGGAGATGACATAAAAATCCGCGGAAATCATCGCTGCAGGAGAATGAAAAGAGCAGCGGATCTAGCAGCCAATTAAAAACAAGGAGTTGTAAAACTCGAAGTGAGATTTTCCTCCTGAATAAGGGAAACATTTGTTGTATAACATTAAATCCAGGGATCCTTTGTGATGATCTAGGTTCTAACAAAATATTATTCCAAAGAAAGACATATTTTGATGCAAAAAGGGAGACCAGTTAAAGGTAGAGTAAGCAGATGGCGGAATCACCATGAGGGAATCGCGCGTGACATAAGACCGACCTATCGGGGTGAGAGCGTCAATATCCGGAAGACAGGAACTAGAGTTGATGGGAACCAGGAGCAAAAACCAACTGCGGGTCTTCTAACCCGCACAAAACTTGATGTTTGCATTTGGCCGTATGCACCACTGGGGAAGAAGCTTCGAGTGGAACCCTCTGAACATTTGCGAGTTTGCTACAATCACAGGCGTTAATTAAACTTAATAAAGGGCAGCAATACTCGAAGATGGGAAGAACAAACATTTGTTACAATCCTATTCTCGTTGCCGGGAGGAAAAGATTATGTGATATGAACACACATACTAGCGCAGCTTTCGCGGAGATTTGAGCTGCTTGAGATGACAAAGTAGCTTATTCACATTCGTGGCATATTATTGAATGCTTTGCTAATATCCAAGTAGATAATTACCACTGACTCGTATTCATTACTAAGAGCAGTGATTAGATTTTTTTAAAAAAAGGGTAAATGGCCAGTTTCACACGACCCTTCGGGTATAAATCCATGCTGAATAGAGCTCCGAAGCTAATTACATAGATAGACATCAAAGATTTTATTGAAAAAGTTTCTTAAGATGTTTTGCTAGAGATTATATTTAACGCACGCCCCGACAATTATTTATATCAGATTAGGACCCAGGCTTGAAGACAGGAAGGATAATTGAGGTCTTCCATGTCTACGTGGAAAATCCACTCGAAATATCGACCGAGCATAAATGACTGTGTAGATAGATAGATAGATAATTTTTATTAAAGACCCGTCGAGGTTCCATCAAAGCAGAATGGGGAGGTTCGATGTCTATTTAATAATTGAGTTTGGGATACCGTATGTTGTCATAGGCGAACCCCCTAGGATTACTAAATAAAACTAGTTGTATATTTATTACTTTCTCGCAAATCACGCAATCAAGGCAATTGCTCACATATATCAAAAACAGAATCGGGCCGAGGACGCTCCCCTGGGGAACCCCACTGTGAACGATTTTCTGCTATACCACCAATACAAATGCGTTGACGACTGCATGTGGGAAAGTCGACCAACGAGTTTTGGAGGATGCCAGCCACACCCATATTACGCATTTCACATCTTGACCTTCTTTATGAAACCCTGTTAAATGCTTTTTTGGGGTCAGTGTAGACTGCATCTACCGACAAACCCATTTTTATAGATGTTCTCCAGCTTTACATGAGTGTGGGCAGGTTCATGAGACAGAATCGACCGCTTCTGAATTTATGTTGACTTGCACTAGGCAAATTTTTCTTCAAATTGTAACTCTGAATGAAGAATCCGCTACAAAAGATGAACTGGAATGCAGCACAAGGATCTGACCCAGAAAGCGATTGGCTCCTCTTCAAGAACGTAATGCAGCACTTGGTAGAGAACTGTTGCCCACTTAAGAGGAAACCTCGCACTTCCTGACCAGAGTGGGTGACGTTAGAAATAAAAAAGAACCTTGGGTTGAAAAGGATACTTTGGAAAAGTACGCCAGATATCGACAACCAGACGATTCCACCGACCTTAAAAAACAGAGAAACGTATGTCGGAATTGGTCGAGGAGGGAACGGGCAGAATTGGAGTCAAAACGTCTACAAAATATCCCTCAAAATTCCAAAAAATTCTTTGGATACGTGAATAAGGCGAAACGCAACCGGGACTGCATTCCCTGTCTTAAAAAATCGCCAGGGAAATACGTTGTCTGACAATT